GGGGCACCTGTCCACCTGTCAAAGTAAAGATAGTTTAACAAAGTTGGCACTGAATAGGAGTATGGATGGTATTGTGTATATTGTATGAGTATGTATAGGGGTACACAATGTTTGCTTTCTCAATTTATGACTCTCTCACTTTTTGAAGTTTAGAACCAGACGGCATAGTTTTGGACACAAACTTCGACCATTTGTATATTTTTTAAAATTCTAAAGAAATTCCATTTTTAAATACGTTTTTTTCCAGGTGAAGAAACAATTTTCAATACTTTTTAGAAAATATTTACAAGATGAAGGACGAAAGAGATGAAACATTTTTGGGAGAGGATTAAAGGATAGAAAGTCAGGAAGATAGAATCCAGCTGGAAAGAGAGAGAGAGAGGGATCAAACGATTAGAGTTGAAAACCCTTGACTTGAAAATTCTGGTCTAATTGGACTATTACAGAGTAGTGTAGAGTAGTATAAGGGTGTTCAACATAATATTTTATTAAACTTTAAACTTCAGCTCCGGTTCCAACAGAAGAATATCCTATTTTAATCATTTTATTTTATTCAAATTCTAGTTTATCAGGGTTCAGTATCTTAGATTATAATAGAATCAAGACAATAGAACAGTGTTCTAGGATTCGCAGTAAACCTCTCTCCGGTTGAGAAACCGTCCTAATTAGCACAAACAAGGAACTGATATCAACCATGTTTTTATCAGCTGTGAGAAATCTAGTTTTTATATCAAACCAAGGACATGGTTCTCATACACCATGCTATATCTCATCCTAAATCCGGCTAATTAGAAAATTACAAAATTGTAAAATTTTTTTTGTTTCAGGAAGGACGAACCACTTCTCCGTCCCTGGCCGGTTCAGTTGTTCAGAAGTTTCTTGATGTCCCTGAGCTTGTTAATCCATCCTACCTTCCATCCTCAAGACAACTTCTCCTACCACTACACACCAAAACAGAGGTATATAGTTTACATGTACTGTGAAGAATATTATTTGACTCAAACTTAAATTTTCTAATTCCAATATATGTGCAACCTACATGGTTTAAGACATTGGATTGCAAAGATATGGGGATTAGAAAATCAAAGTTTGTAGCAAAGTCTCAATTTCTTTATTAACTTTTGTATTCATAGAGAGAGAGGGTGGGGGGGGGTGGGGATATTTAGTTGACTTTATGCAGCAATTATAATTATAATTATGACATTTGATATTACAAGTCAGAATTCGAGATTCTCAGGTCTCAATTCTCAATTACTTATTGAAAAATGTTTTCATTTCTTTATATTTTATTGCAAAAGCATATTTAGTAATAGTGCACTTCTGCAGTCAGTCACAGATTCTAAATTATACTCCATACAGTATATCAGTTACACTGGAGTTAAACCCTTAGTGATATTAGATAAACCCGGAGAAAAATATGAATCTATAGTAAACCCTTTAGTTATGTTCTCGACTATTACAATTTTTATTCTTAAAACCAAATACAAAAAATAAACATATTTCTTCCGGCTCTTTCCTCAACAAAATACGATTTTTTTAAACTACATATGAAAAGATACTGCAGTCTTCTTTTAACAATCTTTTCTACAATTAATTCAATTTCAGTTTTAAAAATATAACTTTAATAATACAGCAATTATCCCAATTATTTATCAAATCATTTTCATATTATGATCAGTTATTTTTACTCCGTTCTATACTCAGAATCTAAATTTATGCAGATTTAGAAAAGTTCTTAAATTGACAATGTCATCTATCTGCCATGTTGGAATATATAAATGGTACGTCTGAACCTAAATGGTGTAATTTTTAAAACAAATAAACTTAACAATGTTAATCCGTAGATGGATGGTGGGGAGGAGAACGAGGGTCTAGCTCCGCTGTGTGCTGGGTGCAGGTTGAGGATAACAGATAAGTTCTATCTGTGTGCAGTGGAAAGAAAGTGGCACTCTGCGTGTCTCAAGTGCGTCGAGTGCGGAAGTGAACTGGAGAACGAAGCGTCCTGCTTTGAGAGAGAAGGACACATATACTGTAGAGACGATTATCTCAAGTAAGTTTAAATATTTTTCAGAGTTGACTAAAGAGTTGAGAAAGGGGTAGGTTCGGTTTCAATTACTCCTGCGGAGCCCCGGCTGGCTCGGTTTCGTGAGTTAGCGCAATTACGGTTACTCCTTGTCCAAAAAACAAATCGTAACACTTATCCCACCTCGCTACTTGAACCATTTATAAACCACAAACCTCCGTCGGAACGTAAACCAGAATTACGAGAACATAATTTGCCAAACCCGCTGACATACATTAAACTTGTAATAACAGTTTTATTATGTTTAGATTGTATGGTGGGTCACGGAACTGTGCCCGCTGTCGACATGAGATCAGTTCAACTGACCTAGTCATGAAAGCCAGGCACTGCATCTTTCACGTAGAGTGCTTTAGGTGTGCTACATGTGATGCTTCATTAAGAAAAGGTAACACATTACATTCCAAACTTAAAATATATTTCTTGAAAAATGAGACTGTTTGCAGATTTTTTACATTGCTTTCGTTTCAGGTGATCTCTTCGGTATGTGGGAGGATGTTCTATACTGTCGTCTTCATTTCGAGATGGTGGCAGCAACCTACGGTCCTCATGGAGAACCCTTGGATCTTCATCCGTCCTTGCAGTCTCCAGCAGGGAGCCACGCCACCCTCTCTCCGGGGCAGGACTTCTCCGAGTCTGGTTTAGGAGACATGTATCCAGGGTTCGGTCCACCCCACCCCTCCATGCTGGTCCCTCCTCCAGGGTTTCCGGGTCCCCCGGACCACTGGCCGTACGGACCAGGTCCAGATTTTGGACATATGCCCGAGTACCAGTTTAATAATAACAATGAACCAATCAAGAAGAGAAGAGGACGGAAGAAAAGGAAGGTTGATGAGTTTGCCGCTATGAATGGATACATGGAGGTAGGTTTTCTTAATACTTTTACTGAACTTAATGAACGGTTAAACGTGGCAGAAAAATTATTATTTCCTGTAAAAACACGTAAAATTTAGCTAAACTACTCTACACTGCTAATTATAAAATTAGGGAAGCAGGGTATAGAGGGTAGGGAGGATGGGACGGAATATGATGAACCCTATGATTATTTATATTACTATTCTTCAGGGATATCCCCAGGGTTTGGATGGACATGGATTAGGACAGGCGAAGACAAAACGTGCTCGAACCTCGTTTAAACACCACCAGCTCAGGATCATGAAAGCTCACTTCCAGATCAACCAGAACCCGGATTCACGGGAACTCAAGATGCTTTCACAAAAGACTGGGCTGGATAAAAAAGTTCTTCAGGTGAGTTCAGGTTTCTTCTTGTCATTCCGTCATTCATAATCATCTCCCACCTGTCTATATACGCACAGCATACGCTTTCATAATGAGGATACATAATTAGTTGTTGCGTCACAAGGTCATTATTTACAAAAGTCTGGAGTATATATACAATATTCTAAATCAACTATGATTAAACAAATAATACTCAGGCTAATCATTTTAAACAGTTGAAAACTGAGATTCTTGCTATTATCGCCAGATTTCAATTATACAATTAGAATATTCAAAAAATATTTGTTAAAACTTTGCAGCCAATTTAAATAATAATTTAGCGGATAATTTAAAAAGCAGCGTAAAGTAATAAAAACTATAATTCAAAAAATGCATCGCAAAAAACTCGCACATCGTAAACATGTATAATTTCCTGACAACAAAAATATGGCTTATAAAAAATTTAAAATTTTAATCAATATTTTTCCCAGGTCTGGTTTCAAAACGCTCGGGCCAAGTGGAGACGAATGAACGCTCAGGGTGGCGGAGGACTGGACGGAGTTCTCCAAGGAGTAGATGACGACCTCAAATCTGAGGACGTATCTCCGGATGAGTGCGGACAGAATAGTATGATATCCTGCTGTTAGTCTCCTAGTCTATACTTGATCAACTTAATCAAAACCGGCTGTTCTCTTGCCTCGTCAAGTGTTGTAACCAAGAACTATAAGTTAGGATTAAAACCAACGAATCCAAGCATTTTCCAAAGTTTTTATCTTCCTTCTCCGGGTTCAGTGCTGTTTACTCCGTACTGTTTATATATACACCTGGAGAGAAACCATGTTAAACCAAACCTGTGTTTAATGTTTCATGTTGTAACATTGGTATTGAAAGCTGAGGGTTTAACCACTTACATAGGGACCAGAATAAATGTACACTGGGTAGTGTACATAATTCATGTTTGTACCGTCATGTCTATGTACTGAATATTACATATGTACTACATGTTTCAAAAATTGTACGTTATACGTTTATATATGTATAAAAAGTAAAACACAGTTTTTTGTACTTTTATGTACGTATTTATGTACTTAATCAAAATTCAGGCAGTGTACATGTAAAGTACTTTAATATTGAACAGAATTCAATAACTTTTTAAATTCTTTTATTAGATTTAAAATAATAGGTTTTAATTACATCACAAACTATGAAAAGTAGAACATAAATCAACCCATTTATATTATTTATAAGAGCATAATTACGATAAAATGAAACTCAAAGCTTTTTATTTTTATTTCTAACTTTTTAAACAGAAAATGAATACAAATTTAGTTACAAAACTTGACTAGAGGAAGAAACTTTTAATCTTTCTAGGAAATGAAACTCGGTTTGGAAATCAAAATTAAGGATTTTAATAGGTTTTTATTTATTGGTTGAATGATACGATCTATAAATTGTCGGACTTAAATTAACCCCTTCCTTCAACATCTAATTTTACCCCATTCTTTTGAGAAAATTTTATGTTGTGGTATACAGTTGAGTGTACATACAGTTTATACTAGTACATAAATTATACATGTACATGTACATCGAGTCAATGAAACGAAACCTTAATTGGCTTAAAGTGATAAAAATAAATATTTTAATCTCTTTAAGGTTCGTTTCTCTACGTTTCTCAATTTGTTCTGTGATGAAAAATTGTAAATATTTAGAATGTGTCAAATGATTAATTTTTGTGCTAAAATATGATAGATGTTTACTTGTAGTCCAATTTGGTGAAGAAATAAACAATTTTTAATTTATTATTTTGTTTAAAGATAAAGAATTGATAAGAAGAAGATGATGTTTGAGGGGGTTTAACCCTCATACAAATTTAGAAATCTTGACATTCAAGAACTGATTTCAAACTAATCGAAGAAAACTCAGACAAGTTGTCATCTTTCATTTGAAATCCATCAAACAATGCGCGTGCAAAAAATATTGCCTTGATCAAATAAATTTAAAGAAACTCTAAAACGTGGCAAAAAACCCCTGCGTACATTAGATTCCAGATATTGGTGACCGAAATATTCAAAATGACACAATTTAGAGCATATTTAATTACACATAAATTAATTTGAATTTGTGTAACTGCATATCAGCTGTAAATACATCGTATTTCAATATTTGTATTTGTATCTTGGTTTTGATAAAAAGGGCTTGATTTTAAAAATTTGTAACAGAGGAAGAAAAATTTCATATAATTTACGATAAAAATCCCAAAATTCTAATTATTAACAATAATTTTCTGGTCAAATCTAAAAGAGAATTAAAAAATTTTATCCATCACCCTGTGTCAATTGTAATATACAGTCTGTCATTGATTGTTGATTTTATTCGAACCTCTAAACAAGGGCAGGTTTAATTGAACACATTCATGTTGAGATCAGAGATGGTTTGGATTAAAACTGAGCCTGGAGTAGGTTTAATGAATGTGTTCTCTACTCCAGGCCAGGGTGGAGAGGATTAAACCATCAGATATCAATATTGGAACCTGATCAAGGTTCTACTTAAAACATGGATTAATAAACCTGACTCCAAGATATTTAAACCAGGATTTTAAGATCGATTTTTAAGGTCGATTTCGAAATCTTGGTTGATTTTTAATTATACTGGTTGATTTTATACGTGTTGAATTTAGAGATTGATTTTAAGTACCGGTTGATTTTTAAACACCAGGTGGCTTTAAATGCTGGCTAATTTTAAGGTACTGGTTGATTTTAGAGATTGATTTTAAGCCATAGTCGACTTCAAATATAGACTAATTTTAAAGTACTGGTTGATTTTAAACTGCTGGTTGATTTTAAAGTTTAAACTAATGGTTGATGTGAGAGGTTTAATTTTTAGCTAGTGGTTGATTTTAGACTACTGATTTTAACATACTGGGCTGATTTTTAGCTTCTGGTTGATTTAAAAGGTTGATTTTTGAGCACAGGTTGACTTTTAATACAGGCTAATTTTAGGGTACTGGGACCAGAGTTATCGGATAACGAGACGTAGTTAAACTATGTTAACTTAATTAAACCACTTTTTTAAATTTTAAGGATAAAAAGAGAAATGATTCAAATAAGTAAGTCAACGAACTATTTGGTCGATTTGAAAGAACTTGTTGATTTTTAATGCAGGATTATTCAAAGCTGAATATGAACACCTTCATTTGTAAGTACAAGTTGATTTCAAATTATCAACTTTAGAATCATGTACTCAACAATACATATCTCTTCAGTACTCATGTACCTCAAAGTAAATAATTGGAGTACCAACTATAGGGATCATGTACTCAATAGACAAACTTGGAGTACCGACTATAAGAATCATAAACTCACTAGGATATGCTTTGAGTACCATCTATAGGAGTCATGTACTCCATAGTAAATATTTTGAGTACCAACTATAGGAATCATGACCTCCAACGAAAATAATTGAAGTACCGACATAGAGAATAGAATATATATTAGTGGGGAATTTAGGGAATCTCTCGGTATGAATTTTTTCAGTCCCTTTCAGCCTGAAAGGGAGTTAAGAACATAATTGAAGTACCGACTGTAGGAAGCTTGTACTTCCATAGATTATGATTGGAGTACAAACTATAGTAATCATGTATTCTTTAGAACATTTGCTGAGTCCATTAGCACTTGATCCAATCAGAAAAAATGTACAGAATATCTGTGATAGTAAAATTTTAATGAAATCTATCTAGAAGTAGTTGGGTGCCTCGTACTCTAATTTTGTATTCACTGGATCTTGCAATCTAGCTATAGTAATCATGTACTCCAAAGAACATAATTGGAGTACCATCTATAGTAACCATGTACTCAATAGAACATAATTGGAGTACCAACTATGGTAATTATGTACTCCATGTACCAACTAAATGTACTACTCTTAAGTTTCATATTCTCTCCTCATTAATATTTTTTATTATACAATTTATTTCTGAAGTTTTTTTTTATTTTTATTTTTTTAAATCTTTTTCTTCAATTAATGATTTCAAATGAGAGATATAAAAAGATTGAATACATTTTTTGCTTTGTTAACCCCATGCGCAGTTATTTCTCAATATTTTTGATCATATTAAATTTTCATAATTATTTTTGTAAGGTCCACTAACTTGGTTTAATAAACGTTTTTGAAATTTTGTAATCTGATTTTGCGGAGGCCTGGTCAGATTCGATTCATGAATTTACATTTAAAGATACGATTGATATCATCAAATGAATTCTCACTTACTGGTTAAGTCCAATTCAAATAAGATTGTTATATTTTTTTTCTAAATTTTTCATAGAATTCATAAATTTACATTAAAAGACATGATTGATATGATTAAATGAATTCTCACTTACTAGTTATCTCCAATATAAATAAGGTTGTTATATTTTTTTCTAAATTTTTCATAGAATTCATAAATTTACATTAAAAGATATGATTGATATGATTAAATGAGTTCTCCCTTACTAGTTATCTCCAATACAACCAAGATATCGGAATATTCATGTTTATACATTATCAGAACTCACCCAACCGAACCATATTCATGAAAACATCTTCTACAAAACTTGTTATTGATGCTTCGTTAAAAGTTTCTTTTCAAGTGGTTTTTTCAACTTGTTAGCAAGGTCCGGCATTAGAGTGTATTTGAGTGTATATTGTCCCAATATTGTCCAATCAAATGAGTTTGTTGCCGCCAAAACGGAACCTTGGCGGCAAATCTTGAAGTTTATCTCTCTCTGAGATTCAGCTCCGCTCTTCAGGAAAGCTGCGCCTAATTGAATTCAACCAAAATGACTAAAAAGTGGTTTAGTTCCTAGACCACAACAATACCACTTGTAGGGAAGGGAGGGAGGGGGGGGGGAAATCATAATGAGTATTCAGACTAGAGATGGTTTTCATACCTTGTTATAAAGATGTGAAGAAAAACAATAAGAAAAATAAATTGTTTCAGCGGCCAATCCTTACTCGAGATCTGGCTTAAGAACGGATTAAGAGCCTTTTTTTCACTGATTTATGCAAAACTGGACGAATAAAATTATTTTTCATGGACGATTGACGAATATAACAGATTTTGTTATTTACGACTCTACAGAAATTGGATATATTGAATACTGCGCTAGCTATATTACAAGATATTAAATACGATATACTGAATACTGGATACTGGATACAGGACACGTACTGAATCCGGGATACAGCTGTGTACTGAATCCGGGATACAGGATACGTACTGGGTAGTGGATACAGGATACGTACTGGATACTGGATACAGGATGCGTACTGGATACAGGATGCGTACAGGATACAGAAAAGTACTAGATACTGGAAACAGGATACGTATATACTAGGTCCTGGATACTGCAGATATGCACTTGAGACTGGATGCAGGATGCGTACTGGGTACTAGATACAAGATGCGATACTGGATACTGGTTTAAATAGGATACGTATATTCTGAATACTAGATACAGCATACGTACTGGATACTGAATACAAGATACGTACTGGATAATGGATACATCATATGTACTGGATACTGGAAACATCGTACGTACTGGATACTAAATACAGGATACGCACTAGATACTGAATATAGGATACGTACTGGATACTGGATGCATCATACGTACTGGATACTGGACATATCACACGTTCTGGATACTTAATACAGGATACGCACTAGATACTGGATACATGATAGGATACTGAATATAGATTACGTCCTGGATACTGGATGGAAGATATCGAATACAGGTACGTACTAGATACTAAATGCAAGATTAAGATATAAACTGCAGATTCACTAATCAGACAATTGAGAAAAATTACTTATTTTCTTGCACTCTGAAAGCTAATTATTATACCGAGGTTAAAGAGTTTGAACTAATTAAAGTTGAAAAGTAATTAAAACATTTGGATTTAAATCAATTGTGTAAGACTACGCTGGTATACAGAGTAACGTAGAGGTTGCGTGATTTTATCTGTTTAAACCTTAAATAAATAATACTAAAACAACAGGTTTAACTGCTGCATTATAGTTTATATATATTTTTAATATTAATTAATAATAATTTTTATTTTGCTTGTTATCCATCAAATAACATAGGTATATTTCTAACAGGAAATCTACAAAATTTACATTTATATAATATAATAATGTAAATATTACTACATAATAATGTAAATTTACAGATAGGTTATCTGCAATTATTTCTTTAGATACATTTAATCAAAGTTGTAATGCAAGGAAAGTTAATTGCAGTTGCGTATACTCTGCGTACATATTGAAACCAGTTCTCTCTGGGCGGAATTTGTAAACAATAATAGATGCATCAGTGTTCGTGTAGTATCCGAGGAGGTTAAAAGCATTATATTTTGATAATTTTGAAAATTCACATAACAGTTTCATTTGACCAGAATATTTCATTGATTTTTATGTGAAAGATGGATCCCAATTCAGGCTTCGACATCCGTCTTGTGTTTACATTACCGCCCAGAGACAGGACAATGCAGTACAAAAGATGCGTACACCTCTGAAATAACTTTCCTTGCATTATAACCTTGCATTTAATAATCAAATTCAATTTTGTTTAAGTTTCGGAAAATGATTTTTGTAAATATTAAACATTAAAGTTTTTAAAAAAGAGTTTTGTTTAAAGCCTAAATTCCCTGAAATATTTGTTAAAGATTTATATATTTGTCCTGGACAATGTTAAATGCTGAGTATTGAATCTTAGCCTGAGTTTGAATGGGTTTAAAGGTGGGAGAGTATAGATGAAGCTAGAGATTACTCCGTGTTCAGTGTAGAACCCTGAGTGCAGTATTGTAGAAGTATTACTCTACGTCAACCTGAAGGTTTGACAAAATAGTTAGTATTGTACCCCAGAGTGTAAAAGTCAGACGGATAAAGATACCTAGATAAGATCGGAGCACCCTGAGCCCTGAGTTCGTCTCAACCTACCGGGTTGGGTTTCTCTGGGAGCAAACATATCTGTCAAGCCGAGTTTTTATTTCCTTCAGTGGAAGATACAATGAAGGTGTAAGGTTGTACAATGTACATATTAGAGATTTAAATCAGTCATCTGTTTGATGAAATAGTCGATGATCAATAGTCGTTCTGTAAAATAAAATACAGTTTTAAATGTCAAAGGTTTAAACCATCAGGTTGCAAAGATATAGGGATTAAAAAATTTTAGTTTGTGGCAAAGACTCAATTTCTTTATAGATTCCTACACATCACGTCAAACTAAGGTAAATTGTATGTAAAATTGAAATCTTAAAGGGACAGACCGGCTATATAAGGTAGTTAAACTGAGTATGTAGTGTTGTGGAACAATTCTTTAAAATTCATTTGAGACATATAAAACGTTTCCACGTTGTATAATTACTGAGTTTGAGTGCATAGTCGACGTTTGAAATCATGAATTTGGGTGGATACGTTCTCATAATTATTAAATAACGACGACGAAAATAAAGTAAAAATTATACAGCAAACTAATTAGAGGGTTAGGAACATATTTCTCAAAAGAAATTTTTCAATAAATCAATGCTAGAATCAATCATTTCGTCTCCATCATTATGTTAAATTTTTTATTTTCTATGAATTTATTCGCAAATTTCTACAAATTCTTCAAACGTCGTCTTTTCAATAAAAATTCCAGAAAATCTGCAGAAAATCTTTGTAAATAATTGAGAGATTATAGAAACTAATAATTTAATACAATTACTTATTTTCGATGTTAAGATTAATTTTTATTTTCTCAACCTGTTCCTAAACAACTAATTAGTTAATGTAGAATTTTGTTTACATTTTTGTCGTCGTTAATAATAAATAAAAAAAAACAATTCTGAAAACGTATCAACCCAAAAGTACGATTTCGAACGCCGACTTTGCGCTCAAACTCAGGATTTACAGATCTTTAAAAAGTTTTATATGTCTCAAATGAATCCTAAAGAATTTGTCAACAACACTGCATACTCAGTTCAACTACCTTACATAGCCTGTCTGTACCTTTAAATGTACATCATATCTTCTCAATTAAAAAGTTATATTGAAAAAATGCAATTTCATCATCAGTGATTACAGCAGGATCAGGGGGTACAACAGGATCAGGGGGTACAACAGGATCAGGGGTTACAGCAGGATCAGTGGGTACAGCAGGATCAGTGGGTACAGCAGGATCAGGGGTACAGCAGGATCAGTGAGTATAGCAGGATCAGGGGTACAGCAGGATCAGTGAGTACAGCGGGATAAGTGAGTACAGCAGGATAAGTGAGTACAGCAGGATAAGTGAGTACAGCAAGATCAAGTGTACAAAAGGATCAGTGGGTACAGCAGGATCAGTGAGTACAACAGGATAAGTGAGTACAGCAGGATCAGTGGGTACAGCAGGCTCAGGGGGTACAGCAGGATCAGTGGGCACAGTAGGATCAGTGAGTACAGCAGGATAAGTGAGTACAGCAGGATTAGGGGGTACAGGAGGATCAGTGAGTACAGCATGATCAGGGGTTACAGCAGGATCAGGGGGTACAGCAGGATCAGGGGGTACAGAAGGATCAGGTGGTACAGCAGGTTCAGGGGATACAGTATGATCAGGGAGTACAGCAGGATCAAGGGGTAAAGCAGGATCAGGGGATACAATACAATCAGGTGCTAATAGGTCTGTTAATTAACATGTTTACTGACATTCACCAATACTAGAAATTATTACTCTACTTAGTGAGTACTTAATCTTGACATAAAAAACCATTTGTCTAAATTCGAACATTTTTTCAAATGTTCTTTTTATTACTTTCCAGTGTATTCTGCACAATGGTCTTTACAACCCACAGTATAGATTGATGTTCAACGTTTTAGGACAATTATAGGTTTCTCTCCTGCAAACTATTTTAAATCTCTCCAGGATAATGGTTTAGTAGGAGAGGATTGTGGAGTAAAGATTAATCCTGGATCCCTCCTGTAGTGTTACCTCCATATAGAGTAGGTAAAATCTGTGTTAAACCTTTTGACAAGTTTATTGAAGGTGTAAATATCTTTCTCCAATCTTTCTCCAATCTTCCTCCAATCTTTCTCCAATCTTCCTCTAATCTTCCTCTAATCTTCCTCTAATCTTCCTCTAATCTTCCTCCAATCTTCCTCTAATCTTCCTCCAATCTTCCTCTAATCTTCCTCTAATCTTCCTCTAATCTTCCTCTAATCTTCCTCTAATCTTCCTCTAATCTTCCTCCAATCTTCCTCTAATCTTCCTCTAATCTTCCACCATCTCCCTTCTATCTTCCTCTATCTCATTTATATCTCATTCAAATCTTCCTTCAATCTTCCTCCAATCTTCCTTCAATCTTCCTCCAATCTTCCTCCAATCTTCCTCCAATCTCCTCCAATCTTCCTCCAATCTTCCTCCAATCTTCCTTCAATCTTCCTCCAATCTTCCTTCAATCTTTCTCCAATCCTTCCTCCAATCTTCCTCCAATCTCTTCCAATCTTTCTTCAATCTTCCTCCAATCTTCCTTCATTCTTCCTCCAATCTTCCTCCAATCTTCCTCCAATCTCCTCCAATCTTCCTCCAATCTTCCTCCAATCTTCCTCCAATCTTCCTCCAATCTTTCTCCAATCCTTCCTCCAATCTTCCTCAAATCTTCCTTCAATCTTCCTCCATCTCCCCTCAATCTTCCTCTATCTTCTCTGAAGTAGTTGAGAAGAACTATATTCATCTAATGTCACGCTAATCCAAGTGTTTCAAGTTTAAGGATTAAACACCTGACTTTTAAAAAAGACCAGTTCTGGATATTGAAGAAACAATAATATGGGAACTCGATATTGAAGAATTTGAGAGCTAAGTATTGAAGAATATTGGAGCTAAGTATTGAATAATATGGGAGCTAGGTATTGAAGAATATGAGAGCTAAGTATTTAATAATATGGGAACTAAGTATTGAATAATATGGGAGCTAAGTATTGAAGAATATGGGAGCTAAGTATTGAATAATATGGGAGCTAGGTATTGAATAATATGGAACCTAGGTATTGAAGAATATGGGAGCTAGGCATTGAAGAATATGGGAGCTAGGTATTGAAGAATATGGGAGCTAAGTATTAAATAATATGGGAGCTAAATATTGAAGAATATGGGAGCTAAGTATTGAATAATATGGGAGCTAGGTATTGAATAATATGGGATCTAAGTATTGAAGAATATGGGAGCTAAGTAATGAATATTATGGGAGCTAGGTATTGAATAATATGGGAACTAAGTATTGAATAATATGGGAGCTAAATATTGAAGAATATGGGAGCTAAGTATTGAATAATATGGGAGCTAGGTATTGAATAATATGGGATCTAAGTATTGAAGAATATGAGAGCTAAGTATTGAAGAATATGAGAGCTAAGTATTGAAGAATATGGGAGCTAAGTATTGAATAATATGGGAACTCGATATTGAAGAATATGAGAGCTAAGTATTGAAGAATATGGGAGCTAAATATTGAAGAATACGGGAGCTAAGTATTGAATAATATGGGAGCTAAGTATTGAAGAATATGGGAGCTAAGTATTGAATAATATGGGGGCTAGGAATTGAATAATATGGGAGCTAAGTATTGAAGAATATGGGAGCTAAATATTGAAGAATACGGGAGCTAAGTATTGAATATGGGAGCTAAGTATTGAAGAATATGGGAGCTAAGTATTGAATAATATGGGGGCTAGGAATTGAATAATATGGGAGCTAAGTATTGAAGAATATGAGAGCTAAGTATTGAAGAATATGGGAGCTAAGTATTGAATAATATGGGAGCTAAGTATTGAAGAATATGGGAGCCAAGCATTGAATAATATGGGAGCTAGGCATTGAAGAATATGGGAGCTAGGTATTGAGGAATATGAGAGCTAAGTATTAAAGAATATGGGAGCTAGGTATTGAAGAATATGGAAGCTAGGTATTGAATAATATGGAAGCTAAGTATTGAATATTATGGGAGCTAGGTATTGAAGAATATGGGAACTAGGTATTGAATATTGGGAGCTAAGTATTGAAGAGTATGGGAGCTAGATATTGAAGAATATGGGAGCTTTGTATTGAAGAATATGGGAGCTTTGTGTTGAAGAATATGGGAGCTTTGTTTTGAAGAATATGGGAGCTAAGTAATGAATAATATGGGAGCCAGGTATTGAAGAATATGGAAGCTAGGTATTGAAGAATATGGGAGCTAGGTATTTAAGAATATGGGAGCTAGTTATTACAGAATATGGGAGCTAGGTTTTGAAAAATATGAGAGCTAAATATTGAAGAATTTGTGAGCCTAGAGCTTGAAACAAAGGCAACTTCATGACTGCATTAACTGCTTGTTTTTGCCTTTATTCTCAATTAAGAATTAAATTGCCAGGAATTCACAGGGGCAGCTTTTTTTTGTAAACCCCTTATAATGGTATACTGAACTGGTGTTTAAAACTGCCAAAACTAAATATAACATAGAATGAGGGAGGGAGGGGTGTGGAGGGAGGAATTTAATTTAAAAAATTAATTTTTACTTTTTTATCATCCATGAATTGTCCCTGAAGTGTGAAGAGGTAATGGTGCATAAATCTTGTAAATGTTTCAATAATATGTAATCCTCCCACATTACACCAACCAACCAATAAAACAATTTCCATTTCATCTACATAACATCCGGACCCTCATTTGATGAAAAATCTACTTTTATGTTTAGTTTTCGCAGTTTGAAATGCATCGCTACTTATTAGCTTTTACACCAAAAAAAAAATCGATAAATTTATAAACATTTTTGGAAAAATCTGGAAATGTTCAGAGTTTCTGTATTTTTCCTCAATTTCCAATTTTCGTATTTTTTTTAAACCTCTCTACTAAAAATTATTGCTTAATAGGCGAATTCTTGGGAGCTAAAGGGCCTGAGTTTGTGCCACAAAACTCACTCAAATTTTAATCCTTACATCTTTGCAACCTGCAAACTTAAACTAATTGATCTATAAAAGTTCAAAGTTTAAAATGATCAAGTAGATCTTTGTGTATCATTGTTTAAGTAGAATAAAGATTACCAGCTATAGACTGAATAGCACTCTATTCAAAGGGAGAAACACTTACTTTCACTTGACTCTTCAGTACAGAGTGGCTGTGTGATTTACTGTGGCTTTTAAACCTTTGTCTGATCAAGGTTAAACGAGATATCATTGTTTTTCAAGCTGATGTTTTTCTATCATTTGTCTCTGTAAAGGCGACTTGTAAGATTTGTGGCACGGAAAAAGAAGAAAATGGTCAAAATTTAACAGTTTTTAAGAAAGTAAAACGAAGATATCTTTCTCATGTTACTCATAAAAAGGAGGGTACCGGAAATTCCACTCTGTACAGTCCCTTTCATAAGGTTTGGTTCCATCATCCTTTCTAACTCCGAGGTAGAGTAGATATACAACAGCAGCTACAGGCGGAACCAGGCTCCAGAAGTTCCAGGAATTCAAGAGTTCCAGATGGAGCCAGGTTCCTGGAATTCCAGGAGTTCCAGACGGAGGTATGCTTCAGATGTTCCAGGCGGAGTCAGGTTCCATGAGTTTCAGACGGAGTCAGGTTCCAGAGGTTCCAGGAGTTCCAGGCGAAGGCATCTTCCAGGATATCCAAGAAGAGTCAAGATCCAGAAGTTCCAAGAGTTCCAGACGCAGGCAGGGGCCAGAAGTTCCGGGCAGAGTTGAGTACCAGGAATTCCAGGACTTTTAGGCGGAATCAGGTTCCAGGAGTTCCAGACGGAGTCAGGTTTCAGGAGTTCCAGACGGAGTCAGGATCCATGATTTCCAGGCGAAGTCAGGTTTCATGAGGCAGATTCCAGGAGTTCCAGGTGGAGTCAGGTTCCAGGAATTCCAGGGGGAGTCAGGTTCCAGTAATTCCAGGCGGAGTCAGGTTCCAGGATTTCCAGACAAAGTCAGGTTCCCGGGATTCCAGGGGTAGTCAGTTCAAGGAGTTCAAGGCGGAGTCAGGTTCCAGGAGTTTCAGGAGGAGTCAGGTTACAGAGGTTCCAGGAGTTCCAGTCGGAGGCAGGTTCCAGAAGTTCTTGAAGTTCCAGGCGGAATCGGGTTCCAGAGAACTGGGAATAAAAATATCAGGTTTCATATTTGCACTAACACACACTCTCATAACTCATTCAAATACTCTCAAAGCTCATTCAAATATACTCATAACTCATTCAAATACACTTAAACTCATTCAAATACACTCACAACTCATTCAAATACACTCACAACTTATTCAAATACACTAATAACTCATTCAAATACGCTCAAAGCTCATTCAAATGCACTCATAACTCATTCAAATATACTCAAAACTCATTCAAACACACTCACAACTCATTCAAATACACTCATAACTCATTTAAATACACTCACAGCTCATCATTCAAATACACTCAAAGATCACTCAAATACACTCAAAGATCATTCAAATACACTTACAGATCATTCAAATACACTCAAAACACATTCAAATACACTAATAACTTATTCAAATGCACTCACAACTCATCATTCAAATACACTCAAAGATCATTAAAATACACTCATAACTCATTCAAATACACTCACAGATAAACATGGAAACATGTGGTAAAGAAAAAACAAATTCATGGAATTGCAAAACATATTTTTTTTTGCTTTGAATAACATTTTAATCAATGCCGTTTAATATTTCTAATATAAATAATTGGTTTCTCGTTAAAAATTTGAACAAAATTATGGTAAACTATTAAA